AATCAAGGTAATAGTGTTTTAATTCATTTACGTTCGAGTAATTTATTTGATGTCATAAACATTCCTATTATTATTTTAGTTTCCTCATCATATGAGTTTGGTGATTTGCAAAAAGCAAAATCCACTCAAAGCAAGTTTAGAGTAAGTACTTTATTTATATAAATGATATAAATGTATTAGGCTATTTTTTATTTTTATTTTTTTGGATAATTGATATATAGAATGGCGATGCAACTACCATGCATCAAACACAAATATCGGAATTGCAATCCGAGCTTATTCGAGTTCATGGTCATTACCGACATTTAAAAGGGTTACATGATAAAATGTATCAGGAATTGGTTACTGATTTTATTTCAAAAAAAAGAGCTGAAGAAAACTAGGCTATTCGACATAAATGTAGTTGTACGTTATATAATTTTACACATATACCTTAGCAAAATATTCTTTCACAAAAATTGCGCAATCATTATTCTTTAAAAATGTATATGTTAGCCAAGCGCTATAAAAGTGTAAAATGATTGCAAGTAACATTGATATGAATTGGCTAAATTTTCGATCTACCTCTGAGATGGACAAATATGCATTTTGGGTAATGCGCATTACACACTGATGAAGTATGCTATCCTGATTTAATACCGTATTTTCGCGTAATAAGGCTTATCTGCACATTATTTTGAGTATATGTGCGTTATTCAGAGTTATTGAAATTATATCCAATCTCTGCTTTATAATAAGATATTACTAATCTGATAATATCTTCTTACAAAAAAGTAAAAAAAAAAACCATAAAAAAAGGGGTTACTATTTCTACCATAGTATTTTGTTATTTTCACTATATTACACAAAAATTACTATTTTTAGTATTTAATATACAGTACGTAGAATATATTATACTATATATAGTAATATAATAAAAATTAATTTTTTAAAATTTAAAAAAAACTTTAATAAATAAATCTTTTTTGGGCTTCTAAGTAAAGTTGTAGAAAGATTTTCTGGTTCTAATAGTGGTTGAATCATCAAAATTGGTCTTGTGGGGTTAAAAACATGAATATAAGGATCTGCAAATTAGTAGTTATACAAAGTATTATAGTCTATAATATTTTGTATAACTATTAATTTGCAGATCTTTATGTTTGCAATTTTGATGATTTAACCACAGAAAAATCTTTTCTACAACTTTATTTAGAAGCCCAACAAACCCTAACTTAATAAAAACTTCGTTTTTTTAAAAAAAAATTGATTTTTTATATTAAATCCTTATATTTATGTCTTTAACTCAAAGTATCTTGGGATTTACAAGGTTGATTTCAATGATCTAACTACTATTAGAACCAGAAAAATCTTTTCTATAACTTTACTTAGAAGCTCAACAAACTCTAACTTAATAAAAATAATAATAGGAATGTTTATGACATCAAATAAATTACTCGAACGTAAATGAATTAAAACACTATTACCTTGATT